AGTCCCGGCGACAAAGGATCGCCTTGGCGCAGACCTTTCTGAGCATCGAAATAACCCTTTGATTCTCCATTGATAAGCACTGAAAGCTTTGGATTACACATGGTACCCTTAACCCACTTTACCCATTTCTCGGAAAAGCCCATATCAGAGAGGATTCTGAACAAACAGTTCCAATTAACATTATCAAAAGCTTTCTCAATATCCAGCTTAAACATCAAACCCGACTTTCTGCTTTTCTTCCGGCTGTCCACAAGCTCAAAAGCAATTAGACCAGCGTCTCCAATCTGCCTGCCCTTAACTGAAGCATGCTGGTTCTGAGAAACCACTTTAGGGAGAACGGTAGCAAGCCTTCTAGAGAGGACTTTGCTCACCAGCTTGTTAACGCTGCCCATCAGACTGATCGGTCTCAAGTCCCTAACATTTTCCACAACATCCTTCTTCGGAACCAAACAGATGAAAGAGTGAGTGACGATGTTGGGCAAGAAACCCGAGCAATAGAATTCCCCAAACGCAGTGATGATATCCGTCTTTATCCAATTCCAGCATTTTTTATAAAATTCTCAAGTAAAGCCATCCGGCCCAGGAGCTTTATCACCGTGACAATCAGACAAGCTAGCCCAAATTTCGAACTCAGAAAAGGGCATATCAAGAGCCCACTGATCAGCCTCACTAATCTGTCTAGCACTCATATTCCCAGGGAAGGGCCGAACACGAATTTTCTCTAGAAACAGGTCAGCATAGTAATCAACAATACTCACAGCCACAGAATCCCTTCCTTCAATCAGATTCCCATTGATTCTAATACTACAAATCCGATTAACCTTCCTTCTGTAGTTTGCAACCCTGTGGAAAAAACTAGAGTTTTTGTCTCCCTTTTTCAACCAAATCTCCCGGGACTTCTGTCTCCATGAAATTTCCAGCAGGTCTAGCACTCTTCCTATCTCAACAAGGAGACAATCTCTATTAGAAGTCTCTTCAACAGAGAGAGGGCGAGACTCTTCCTGCATATTGATTTCCTGGACCGCAGCAGAAAGGTCAGCAAGCTTCTTATTCATGTCACCAAAAACCTCCCTATTCCAAACCTTGATGTGTTCTTTGAGATTATGAAGCCTACGAGCAAATCGGAACACCGCCCCCCGACCTTGAATCTGTGAAGAAATCCAATCAGCCAAACCTTCATAAAACCTAGCATCTTCCAACCACATATTTTTGAACTTCCACGGCCTATGCACCCTAGAATTCTCCCCCCACCTGAGTAAAAGAGGAGAGTGATCCGATTCAATTCGCTCAAGAGCGGTGAGAGTGCAATCCGGATATAGACTGTCAAAACTAGTAGAGATCAACGCTCGGTCAATTCGGGAGAGACAATCGCTGTTACACCCTTTGCACCAAGTGAACCTGCACCCATTAAGAGGAAGCTCCATAAAGCTGCAATCGTCAATGACCTTGTTGAATTCAAACATAAGATGGCTATTGCGCCTTGCACCCCTGTAGTCCTCATGGCTTCGAACCAAGTTAAAGTCTCCAACAATGCAAATAGGAATCTGACACTGCTGCCCCACTGTAAGCAACTCACTAAGAAAACCAGCTTTCTCCTCGATATTTTGGGGTCCGTATACCACCACCAGCTTCCAAAGCTTCTTCGAAGACACCTCCTCAAGATTAACTTCCAGCAAGAAGCGACCCTCCCTAGATTGGATTACAGTGAAGAAGTTCTTGTCCCAGTAGATGGCAATTCCCCCAGAGCTCCCCTCAGCATTTTTAGCGGCCCATCCAACGTCCACCGATCCCCCAATGCTTCGAATCAAACTCTCATCACAATCTGACCATTTAATTTCCACTAAGCCCACTATTTTAGGCCTCTTCATACCAATGATGCGCTTGATCCTGGCTCTTTTATCCCTATCACATAGGCCTCTAACATTCCATACCAAAACTGAAGTGTCCATAAGACTTACAAATCAAAGGATCGACCCTCCTTCCTTGCACTCCGACGGGTCTCAGTCGGTATATGTTCAAGAATCCCAAGTCTGCGCTTCTCCATCTCCAGCCTTGTCCTTTTGGGTCGTACCTTTCTAATATGCAACTCCTTAGCCTGGCACGATAAGATTCTGTGGACTTCTTCCTTCCCTTGCTTGACATCCAGAGAAAAAAGGTCACCCAGCTCAATACATGTAGATTCCAGAGTCTCAAGACCTCGGTTGGCTATCCACAACGCAAGAGGGGGATGGATAGTCCAAATCAGAGATCAATTCATGCTCAACGGGAGAAGCTAAGCTTTCCGACATCGAGGAGCCAGAAGGAGACTGAAATTGGGAAGCAGAATCAATCGTATACTCAGCTTGAGATGGAGGCAGACACAAGATATTCTGATCCAAAACCCTTGCTACCAACGTTTCCACCCCACCTAATTCACCAATCGCGATTTCCAAAAATCCAGCCGATGGAGGAGGAGCTCTACGCCTTTGGATAGCAGCAGCAGAGTCTCTTTCTGTCAGGCCACGAGGAGCAAACCGGACAACAAACAGAGTTGGACTCCTCGAAGGGCTAAGGAGAAAGCTCAAGAAGAAGCCAATGCCATTGCATGTGCTTGTACCACCAAATAGCTTTCCATTTTCATTCCTATAAAATGTTCCTATCTTTGAAAAGAATTCTCACAATTTTCTTTCTTACTTGAATCGGTATGTGCTATTTTATTCATATTTTTTTTTCTATTTGTTCTTTCTATAGTTTCATGTGGAATTCCTCAACTGCATCATTGTTATTCTCCCTAACCATTTCATGTGGTTTTCCAGATATTGTTGCTGTGATGTTTGATATCTGATCTGTACATTCATGGGGTTTCGGGGGCTTCGTATTGGCATCTATACTGATGTTATCATAGCTCGACTTCTCAAAATATGGATTGAGCATAGTGGAAATCCTACATGCCTCAAACGAACAATACATATGTTGTGGATTGATAAAGAGGTTTGTACCAGATCTACGTTGCAATATACAGAGTAGCTCATGACAGAAAGGGATATTGGAAAATGGATAGTTAAATTTATAACTTTGCCGTATCGGGGGATGTGATTTACATGTAGGATCCCCAGGAGGATTGCTATGTGGTTGCAGAAGTTAACTCAACTGTCCAAAATCAAACTATGAGCCAGTCTATCTATAGCTATAGTAACATGGTTGTGAAGAGTTTGAATCACAATATGTTATGAAGGTTATTTCTCAAGTCCGTACTTGATTGATGATTATAATATTAATTAGTGGATAAGAACCAAATAAAGAAAGATGTCGGAAGTAATAACTATGACGCCTTTCTTTTTTTGGCCAAGGGTGATATGTATTTATTAAATCAAGAGGGAACAAAAATCAACCGAACCTACCTGCACATAGCAAGCCTTTGTTGGGACAAAACACAGGAAATCGAAAAAGAAACAGATATGCCTTGCATATATCATGCAACCAAGTGGATTTTTCTATATTTATTATAATTGAAATTTTTTGGTATATGAAAGTGGTACGTATGGATCTTGTTGGCAACTTTACCCAACGATGGTCTCATGGTTTGATAGATTGATGGATAGACTGGGAGGAGCAACAGCATCAGCCAATTGCGATAGTCTTTGTGAAATGATGAGGAAATCGGTGACGAAGTCATTTCAATGGCTGCCATGAAAGAACGGCGAAGAAAGTGACCAATCTTTATATATATATATATATATATATAGGTAACACTCGTATGGTCCAGACGCATAGCATGTTCCAATCTTCTTACACCGTTGATCTAATCTAACGGCTAATATTAATAATAATTAACTGATTTATTAATTATGATTTAAATATGACTAATTGGGCCCTTTATATTTATAGGCGTGCTCTTTAATCCTCATAAATAATTTTCATATCTTTTTATAATACCATACCTAATATCTTCCAATCAATGATTTAAACACCCAAAATTTATATATCTTTTTATATTATCTTTCGCATTACACACAGAACACCTTTCACTTTTGTGTTTCTTTCCCTGTTATTTATCCAGCCACAATTTCATTTGACGATCCCTTTCCTCTCCTCCTTGAACACCATCAAAATTCCCCAGACTTCACCCATCATCTATAATTCTATTCTTTCTCATTCTCATCGCATGGGGAAGCTGGGGACGCGACCACTCATCGATTTCTTTCTCATTCTCATTCTCATCCCTGCCATTGACAGAGATGGCGGTGTGGAGACGCGACCACGCATGGGGAAGCTGGGGAAAGGGCTGGAGAGCTGGGGGAAGGGTTGACGACAACGACGAAATCGATGGAGACGGCGGTGCGGAGATGCGGCCACACATGGGGAAGGGTTGACGGCCAAGACGAAATCGATGGAGATGGCGGTGCGGAGAAGCGGCCACAAGTCGGGAAGGGCGGACGGGCAAGACGTAATTGATGGAGATGGCGGTGTGGAGACGGCGGCCGCACATGAGAAGTCAAATTGGTAGCCATGGGTGACTTAATCGGTAATGACCCGTTGATCAAACAAGCTCCCAAGAGATCAAAATCAAGCGAATAGTCACTGAAAGGAGATTTTGAATTGCTAGTGAGACACAGAAGGGTCGCATGATATACGCTGCTCAACAAATTATTGTATAAAGTGTGACAAGGGATTACTAAGAAACTCATATACGAAATACGCCTCTTCATGCAGTGGATAGGCTCACTGCTAAGAACCCAGAATGGTCCCTTCTCGGCCAACACCTGTGACACGGAGCACGGCTTGTGCAGTCGAAGGAGGGAATTTCAAAGAATAAAACTGCTCCCAGGAAAACGGCTCAGATTCGTCAGGTACTGCTGATTCTTCATACGTAGTTTCAAGCTGCGAGAGCAGGGTTCGAGCAGCTTCCCTTGATTCTGGAAGCTTGTCACTGAGTTGGCGTACGACAACAAGAATCAGTTTGTCGATTCCATATGCGTTGATTCCTTCAGCACCCTAATGGGGGTAATAAACACGATAGTTCATTTGACATTAATAAGTGAAAAAGCGATGCGCAAATGCAGAACGACCAACAATACTTTCTCAATAGAAGATTTATTACCTATAAACAGAACAATAAGCAGGACAGTAACCATCCAGTCGGCGAAGATGACATTAAAAGTCACACCGATACTAATTCCTAGCATAAGCATGGGCTGGATCAGTAGAGCCAAATCATAACCAATGATTGGCATGTCAAGTGTAGGATGCCGTAGCCTAAAATTATAGTACACAGTTGATGCAGCTGAATCCATTAACATACCTAAACGACAAGAAAATTATCATACACACATTCATCAATTCAATTAACTTCAGCAATGCCACTTAGTCTTAGCTTTACTGTCATTCCAAAACGTGTAATCTTACATTTAGAGATGGCAGTTGAGGATTTGGGATCAAATCCAACAATTAGGCTAAGCATAGGAACGAAAATGCCACCTCCACCAACACCACCCACACTCCCAAATGCTGCTCCCAAGAATCCAACAATTGTGCCCAGCACTATTTGCCATCCAAATTCCAGTTCCTGTGTACTCAACAGCAACCAACCTCAAGTCATTTTAAAGCTATGCATCTAGATTATATTAAGATGAGGGTAAGAACTAAGAAGGAAAGCAACGTAGTAGGAAGGTAGTCCACTTATTAGGTGAAAAAGATCGGCAAGGAGCAAAGACAAAAATAGAGAAATCCGCTTAAAATAAGACGAGATGGAACAAAGCCTTCTCTGTCGTCACCCGAGCTCGTATACTACCGCATCTTTTCTCCCCCGGCGCCGGCATCGGAGTTATCTTCGTCATGGTCTCCGAAAACTGCAACGCGGAATGGGATCTGTCGTTAAGCGAGCTCTTCCACCGTCCCGCCCCCAGAAAACGGTGGCGACTCAGTTCAGAAGGAAACCCTCCTTCCGCCATCAGCAAACTCGGAGACGACCTCCTCGTCGAGATTCTGATTAGCCTCCCCAATCCCAGATCCGCCTTCCTCTGCAAACCCGTCTGCAAGCTGTGGAGCTCCCTCATCTTCGATCCCAGCTTCAGTCGTCGTTTCGTTGCTCGCTACCAGAGCATGAACCTGAACCAATCGCCGTTTCAGTGAATCAAAGCCGAATCGGGGCGAGGGAAGTGCAGAGATTCGGAAGCTTACCTTCTCCGCATGCTCATCGACAAGGCCACACCTTCGGCCGCCGGCGAAGTGGACCAGCTTCGAAGACTCCAAATCGACCAGATTTCCCAGAAACATCAAACGATTAATGGAAAGAGAGAATGAAACTGTGGTGTGTAAAATTTGGCTGACTTGCATCAACAAAAAAAAATGATGTTGTTAATGGAGACTAACGGAAGGTAACGGAGAGTGACCAAATTGAATTGTTTAACTAATCTTAGTGATTACTAATGGAATTAAATACTTCTAGTGACTATACATTAACTTTCTTTTAGTAATCCCAATGACCAACCTTGCAATTTACCCGCTATAGTATTGTCAACAAAATCATAGCTTCGGTCGAAATAGTAAATACTTTTAAAGTATGATCGAAGACTCAAATTCAAAGGAGTCAAGCATGTTAGCAAACCACCCTCATGCACATGAACGCGAAAATACAACAATGGTGTGACGAGTAGGGAAGTTAGCATGTATAGACAGAGTCACAAACAATGGTGATGTTAGAACAAATTGGGGAATCAACAATACAAGAAATTAAAAAACACACATGTTACATAGATTGAGAAGGTATATATTACCTTCTTTGGACGCCCTAACCTAATCCAACCTGGCAGGGACGGAGCCAGGATTTCGAGACTGGGTGGGTCGAAAAAGAAAATTTATAATTAGTTTAAAGGTATTCGTTAAGTTAATACATATTTAAGGTATAGCTATTTTAATGTTAGTTTTTTCATTTTTGCGAAGGGCAGGGTTTTTCCTTTTATGCTAGGGCATTGTAGAAAAGTGGGCAAAAGTTCAAATAGTTGGGATTCGATTCCACATCCTCAAATATAAAAACCAAGTTTGCTTACTATTAGACTACAATGATATCTTATGATACTGTGTCTGGCCGATTCTTACTTAAATATTTTACTAAATATACTTAAGATCCCAGGGGATGAGACCATTCTCGAGGGGATTGGGGCCACCCCGATTATAAGGTAGCTCCGCCCCTGCAAACTGGAAAAGAAAATGTTACAAACGATATCCAAAGAAGAAGGTTATAGCCAGACTCATGATTCTAGTAGATGACAGATAATCTGGATTCAAGTTATGGCAACATATGCAACTTCTATCGATAGAGGAGGATATACCGATACCAAAATTGTTTATATATTGGGCTGGTTTAAATTATTTTAACTTGTGATCTATTTTAGCCGTAATTACTTAAGCCCATACATGTACACTGCCCAAATAATAGCTTATGGAAAAATGTGTGTGCCAAGCCCAATATAGGTTTCTGGCCCATCAAACTCCTTCATCGCAGTCCGCAGATGCTACTCATCGTGTTCCTCTACCTCTTTCCCTCTGGTCACGATGTTCTACAACCGAGTTACATAATGAAGTTAGTAAAAGGGAGCTTTGTGTCTAAAAAATTATGTCATAGACCCACAATCTAATAAATAATCAATCAAAACGTACGACTCCTCTCTCTCTCTATCTATTTTCTGCAGTTGATGAACAATAGAGCTAGAGCAAGAAGAAGATGAAGGGGGCAAGAAGAGATAAAATACCAAATTAAGAATCTAATTCATGTAATTGATTCCTACCGTCCCTATTACCCGATCGAGGCATCTTTATTGGGGTCGGGAACGTAGGGCCTTGCGGTAACCATCGACGATGGAGCTTAACGGTAAGGCGAAGCTTGATTTGCTGGAGTGGGAGGCCATGGCGGTCGAGAACGCTATACTATCCCGAAAATCTCGTAGCTGATTTTACCAATGCAGCTTTGTTCCCTTTTTAGTTATGATGGTGTTGTTAGTGGCTACTGGGCACTGGCTACTGTGTTTTAATGATGAAGGATTGAAGGTGTTGGCAGGATGTGGCTTGGTACAAGGATGGGCTTCGATGAAGTTGTTGAGTAAGGTAGCTTCGTGCGATGATGGTGAAATGGGGGTTTGGGTTTCTATAATGATGACGACGGCGTATAAACATTAGGCTTTAGTTTTATTTAATCCATGGGATGCTTAAACGTATGATTACAAGAAATAAGGTATTATAATATCATTTATGATGATAAACATAGTTGAGTGATTATTATGCATGTTTAATTATTAAAGGGGTTCAATTAGTAATTATAATTATTAATAATTAAATACCTTTATTATAATAAATTATGATCGTAAGATTAGATCAACGGTGTGAAAATCTGGAGCATACTATGCGTCTAGAGCATACGAGTCGTATCCATATATATGGGCAGTTCTACGGTGCCCAGGGCAAAATCCGGGGTACGGGTAACCAGGGCAAGGAAAATTACCAAAAGCATCACGAAGCGTTTATGCTTTTTTCATTGGACTTCAACCTAACGGTACCCAGTTTAATGATATCGATTAAGAGGTTAAACCCTATGGATACGACCCGCCGCCCTAACCAATTTCCAGTCTCCCTTCTACGATCCCTCATTCGCCTTGGAGGGTCCCCTCTAAGTTCGAAGTTCGATCATAAGCTGCCTATCAAATCTGAAATCTCTAACAAAATCATCGTTTCGAAACCCAAATCCTTTTATTATTTGATCCACATTCGATTTAGCTCCCTATCCAATCTCAAATCCCCAACATCATCATGTTTCATACGCCAAATCTATGTATCCACATTCGAAGAGAAGATCCCCATCCAATATGAAATCCTCACATAATCATCGTTTTGAACCCCAAATCCTTTTATCCACAAATCGACGTTTTGTTCATGCCATTTTATTTCCGTGCGGAATTTACTCGCCTATCTCTTTCTAACACGATTACGGCGACCATGTCTATTATTGTGTTCATCAAACTTTTCGTTTGCAAAAGAACCCTTGAAAGAGGTTTGCTAACCCTAGGGTTCATGTCGCTAGTGCTTTGTCATTTTCTCGAAACTTCTATCATTCGGTGAAATTAAGGTTTCCTGATATGCAGTGTTCGTCTCGCCCAGAGGATTGAGGAAGGAGATGAAGAAGACCTAATTTGATTCGAATCAGATGGAGAGGTCTCCTTAATTTGTGTTTATGTATTAACGGTGCGTTTAGGACTAATTCTAGTTGGACTGGGTCTGATCATTGATTTTTGCAGGCTTTTAAATAACATTCAGAAGTGGGCTTGTACATGACCCATGACACCTAGTTTGTTGATAATAGATACTGAGTTCCGGATTGTCATTAGGTTGGGCCTTTGATAATTGTCTATCTCAGTGGCGATTCTTTGTTTTACTTATTTTCATCTGCTTCTGCTTCTAAAATCCTGATCATGCATTGAGTTCACGCAATTTAAACATAATTATGTGTTCCATCTTTTTTGGGATTTGGTAAATGCTAGCGTGTCTCTTTACACATTTAGCGGTACGAGGTAAACTACAATCCGCCCAATTTAACTCTTCATTAATTGAGATCCCATTCCACTCTCTCACCGATTTCCCCTCTTTATGCAATGCACTCGTACATAACAAACCTCTTGTAGACTAATTAGAGGCTTGTGGTTGGATACTGAGTGAGGATATTTTTTTAATTTATGTTTTGAAACGAAAGTTAGAATTTCACTTTTGAAGTACCTATGTACTTTAGTTGGGCAAGTATTTTCAAAATGTAAAATTTTATCAGCGTATAGGTATTCGATTGTTGTATAAGGTGTTGATGTTAAAGGAAATGGGTACTGACTGCTTAGGGTATTAGGTTGTTGATGGTATAGAGTATATGGTATATGGGTAGGTTATAAGGTGTTGATGGTTTAGAGCATATGGTATCGATTGGTTAAAGGGTGAGGGTAGGTGTTGTCTTATTTTTTCTCGATTTTATATTTTCTTTATATCTGCTTATAAATGCTGATCATGCCTTATTACTAAAAAAACTTAGACATAATTATTGTAGCGTGACACATTTATCAGTACGAGATAAAATGATTTGGTGTGTGCAAGGTAGGTTCCTATTATCTATTTTGCCTTGTTGGTTATCCTTGTTGGTGATCCCGGCCATTAGCGATTTGCCACATATGGAATGAAAATTAGTTAGAGTTATTAAGTTCATCTTTCTTCATTTATTGTTTGATTTGAACCTGCGTGTTTTTGCTCCGAATGATTTTGTAGTGGCGTGGTAAAGACAATCCATCCAATTTAATTTTTCATTAATTCCCCCTTTTCTTTTCTTTTTTTGGTAGAATAATTACCCCTTTTACACTCTCTCAGTCCCCGCCGAAGTTGAAACAATCCCCTGTGATATATTTATCATTCATTTTAACCCTTCACTTTATAAGAAAGCGAAATTATGCAAGATGGTCATCAATGTGATGTAGCTTAATTGGTTAATTGTCTGTTATTTGCTTAGTCAATAAAGTAGAGGTTTGTGGTTCGATACTTAGTGAGTATCAATTTTTAATTTATGTTTTGAAAAGCAAGTTATAATTTTAATTTATCAGCGTATAGGTATACGATATTGTATAAGGTGTTGATGGCTGCCAAGATTCCGGAGGAGGAGAATCACGTGGTTCCTCGAGGACCCGGCCACGGTCACTGGAGCTGGCTCATCACCAGAAGCTTGCTCATCACTGCGGCTCTATTCGTTGCTCAGGAGCTGGCACTCGAGCACAACAACCTACAACAAGTAGTACTCATCTTTGAGAAGAATGGGCACACCTATAAGGCCTCCATAGTAGCCATCATGGTCCTGGTCTGCATCAAGCTAGTGGGAGCGTTGGTTCCGGTCTTCACAGCCAACGCCTCCGGACGTCGCAGGATTCTTCTGCTTGTCAGCATGGGAGCCACAATAGTTTTCCTGGTAGCCCTTGGCGGGATGTTGCTAGCGGATTTTCGTGCGAGACGCACAGTCCCTTTCCCACTTTACTGTGTTGTGTTTGTTGGTGTTGAGCTGTCGCCTGCCATTGGACTGGGTGCAGTTCCCTGGATGCATGGTCCGGAGGCTTTCCCAC